CAACGCAGGACATCGGATGACGTTCAAGTTTGATTGAAAACACAGATGTTCGGTTATGTGTGGATAAAAAATATATTATAAACAGAAAGGGGGATATATACGGTTTCAAAAATACCCGACTACGTGTGGATATTGGCTCAATGTGAGAGAAAAGTGTAGATTGCAGCCACAAAGAAACTCCTGTAGAGAACGAGAGAGAGAGAGAGAGAAACTTACAACTTTCTGATAGCTACATTTCAGAAATTCTTTTAAATGTAAAGTGTCTTTGTCCTAACTGCTTTATTATGATTGAGAAATGCGGCGCAGTCATGGCTACGGTCTCTTAATGCACACAATCTTTACATAAACAAAAGCAGAAATATCAGCCTGTTTACCACACTGCAAAACAACCTCACATTTACTTTTAAACTGACTTTTCAAACCATAATGTTAATGTGAAATTGGATGTAATGGATTTGCAGTGAAATTTGCAGTCCAATAAAAAAACAATCCTGGTCTTACCATGTGTAAACTCTGGTCCATGGTCATTTCCTACATGTACGTCTGGGTCTGATCCTAGTGGCTGCAGTTTCCTCGGTTGAATCCCCTCCGACCAATCAGAGAGTGGGGGAGGCGGGTGTTGTAGGTCGGTGTCGGTGACGTCAAGAGTTTGTGCTGAATTTGCTGGTTGTAGTTTGTCGGAGAATGCGATAGTAAAATAATCTGTTCTGGTTCAATCCAAATATCAAGAAACTGAAGCCGGAGCAAGAGGAATGTTTAGTAAATGTCATTGAAGCAAAGATGTTGTGGCTCTGCTCCCCACGGGCTCCGTTAGTGGCAAAGGAGATGGCTAAAGCTAGGCTACATGCTAAAGCTAGGCTAAATTCCTCACACACTCAGGCTCATTACATACGTCACGGTAAATGCACCCAAGTTAACCCCTCCCACCTGTTAAAGAGCAAATCCAGACCTTAGTACTAAATGAAATAAGTACGATGGTATGGTAAGACCAGGCTAATGAAACTTTGTGGTAACATTAAAATTAATTTTGACTGTGATACTGAAAATGCTTTATCAAGTTTGTAATTCCAGTATTGTGTAGCATTGTCACCCTTCTGGACCAATCAGCTCCTGTCTGTGTCTCTGCAGAGTTACACACCAAATCAATTAATCACTTTTCATTAATGTAGAGACACACACACACACACACACACACACACACACACACACACACACACACACACACACACACACACAGGATGTCACCGGCATGAGTCACCAGTGCAGATTATATGCACCCCTAACCCTGTCACTCCTCCTCAGATCCTCTCCCACTCACACACACACACACTCACACATACACGTTTTTGTTACCTGGTGGGTCCCTTTGACAGGGCCGTTCAGAATGGGACCCATAGACATAATCTTTTTTTACCAAGACTTTAAGTAATACAAAACAGTCAATAGAAACCAAACAACTATTTTAAAGGAATTTTATTTTAGATTTTGTTTTCGAATTGCAGTGATTCTATTTTTGACATAGAATTTAATGCCACTCCATGTCCGATGTCTAAGGTCATCTGGTGAGGCATTAATGCAGGCCAGGCAGTGAGACTTCCCAGGGACCTTTCCAGTCTGTATGAAAGGTGTCATGGTCTTCTCCACAGCCTTCACCTCAGATGCAGACCATGGCTTTCTTACACGTTCTAGGGAGAGAAATAAAAATATATTAGCAATATACACTCCCAGGGTGAGGACCAAGCAGCCTGGCTGTAATCCCCCACCTGGTACACTTACCAGAAGGGGCACTGCCACTACCATGGGGTGCATCTGGATGAATGGTTGAAGGTTCTCCGCTTGAAGTTTCTTTTAGCCCGTCCGTTTGTGAGAGGATCTCTACTGCTCTCCCTGTCGCACAGAAAATAAAAATACAAGTGGCCTTTAGGGGAAAAAAATCATACATATTTTAATAATATCAAGAATTACCTTCAGGCTCAATTTGTATCTGGTCGAGGCTCTTTCCTTCGAATTCCGTCACTCTTCCCTGCTCCATGGCCATCAACACTTTGCTGATTTTGGCCAGCTCCAGTGTCCCCTCTGGTAGTCTGTAATATTGCCTGTGGATGCGAATGTCATGGCCGAGGAAGTTGGCAAGTATGTCCATCTCATTCTCTTTCATATTGAGAACTGTAGACATAGTAGCTATGTGCTTTCTAAGTTTGGTTGAGGATAGCATCTCTGGATGCACCGCACCACATTCTTTGGCTACCTGGCGTAGGGAGTCTGATCCCCTGATGTGGGTGTCTGCGCCCGGGCGGGAAAAGAAGTATGGGTTATGGTCAGAGATGGAACAGGCCCTTCTGTTCTCCACCAGCACCTCCATCGAAGCAATCATTTCAGGAGTCAAAAGAACCGGCACTTTCCGACTTCTTTTCCCTTTAATTTCAATGCGTTGAAAATGCTGACACAGCTTTTTCTCAAGTTGGGACAGTCCCAGAGCAATGTCAGAATGGATCCCAGTCTTACTTCTTAAGGTAAAGGCTGTCAGTGGCATCTTTGAAACCTCACCTTCCCTTCTTCGATTGAAAATGATGACCTCACAAAGAGTCAAAACTGCCAGTTTAGACCAATGCTTAGACGTTGGCTCACTTATTAGGGTTTGCACATATTCAGGTCGACATACCTCAATATGTGCATGCATGGCTCTAACGTCCTCAGTCAGAGGGAGCAGGTCCGGAGTGTTCCACTTGGCTTGCCGGAGGGTCTGTAGGGCAGCAGAAGAAACACAGACGTCCCACCTCTTCTCAAAAAGCAGCCGGCTTCGTTGGAGGTTTTTAATAAATAGTTCATCAACACAATGCTCCATTTTTGAGTCACATTCAAGAATATCTGCTAGCTTTCTGAGGCTATGGCCGAGTTTGAGGGCCAAGGATGGAGTCTTGTATTGATTTGTTTCCTCATCATATCCAGCCACAGACCTGACTGCATCAATCACATGGTTAAAGTTGGAAGGAATAAAGAAATCCTTAATTGTTTTCAGTTTCCCTGCGGTTTTTGCTTCGTTAATTAACCTACCGACTTCTCTCATTTTCTGCCTAATGTAATCATGCTTTGTCTTATCATGCCCGTGTTTTAAGTACAGGTGCTCTCCGAGTCTCAGAATCCCCTTTTCTGCTTTGACAACACCCGTGACCTCATCCTGATGCATTGCCGAAATTAAAGACCACAGCTTTTTGCTGATGCCCTCCGGTACAGGCTGGGCTAGGGAGCAGAGGGACTGGACCCTACTTCTACCTGGTTTAGCCTGGGCATCTTTCTGTGAAAGCCGGCACCTGGCCACATGCCTCCACAGCGACTTTCGCTTAAGCAATGCCCCACAGTCTATACAGTGCAAAAACTCACTGGATTTAACTGGGCAATTTGGCTGTTTAGCTGGGACTAAAGTTCCAATGCCGGCCTTTAAAACCTCAAAATTGTGCTCACGGTTTCCACTATTCCTGATCAAATCAAACTGAAGTTTACGTGCTTTAGATTTCACAGGTAGAGCCAATGCTCTGGCTACGTCACTTTCATTTCCATGTTTTCTAGTCAAATGACGGGACATTTTGTGGCAGGACATTGAACAGTAGAGGCAGAAGTGTCTCTTGCTGTATACTCGCCCCCCATTTTTCTTCTTTTGCAGCTGCATGATAACAATCTTATTTGCCTTTGGTTCGTCACTTTCCGAGTCTTGAAGAAAAGTGTTTTTGATTTTTCTTTTTCCATACTTTTTTACAGGTTTCTTCTTGACAGTTAAATCGTCAGAATCTGAGTCGACTTCATCAATTAGGGACTCTTGACTAAGCTGCACAAACAACAAATAATTTGTAATCATTCTATATAACAATTTGAAGTCATGACTTGTAGTCAGCACTTACCAGTGGTTTGTAAGCGTGCGCTTCAGTGTGCTCCTCCATGATTTCTTGCAGCCTAATGAACCACACACTTGCACCTTTTTCTAGCCTGACACCTGATTTCCTCTGTTGTGCTGCTCCATGATTGGCTCCAGCCTGCTGGACTGAAATTGCCCCAGTGTGCCCCTCCTTGATATCCCGCAACCCACCACCAGGGTTCCGACACATAACACACTTTTTTCAGGAAAGTAAACCTCCAGGGGTCCTTTCCATATTTTTACAGAGACTGCATAAGGACCGTTAGAAAAGCATTACCCATTGATTATTAAGCTTGGACCAGTGGGGTCCGGTGTTCGGGCCCCACCACGTAAAACCAGTCCCCATGACGTGAGTGGAATCTCAGGTTATGGAACCCACCAGGAGTTGAAAACAAGTGCACACACTCACACACACACTCACACACTCACACACACACACACACACACACTCTCCCACTCCAGCGTCCTTCCTATTCCACCTTTCACCCGCGCTCCTCCCGCTCTGTCTCTTCTCTTTTCACTCTCCACTGCCTCCCGCCTCTCGCCTCTCGCCTCCTGTGTTTGTGACAGTGCAGGAGACCACACCAGGGACGGCCACATCTCTGCCCATAATTAACCTCAAACTGTTGTAACTAATGTATGAGTATGAGTTAGGCTAGCTACTTCAACACTAGAACTCTCTGGAACTACATGAAAACTGAACAAAGAATTGTGAAAATCAGCACTGAGTGACCCAAATAAAAAGTGAACCTAAATCTATAACCAGGTCCTCTGCAAATGCGTTCTAAAATGTTTTATTAATGTTAACGGTTACTTCCGGGTTTACCGCTGTTGCATTTAAACAGCATTTTTGTCATAAAAACCTCTTTGCATGTGTGTCAAGGATGTATGATGTTTTGTCTCATTAACATTTAAATGTGGTGATTGATTGTTATTTGTGTTTATGATTTATAGTAATATAATAGTTTATAGTAATATAAAATGTATAATTTAGTTTATGTTGATTGAGCTTCTCTCGCAGACACAAAAGTAGTGACAGTTGCTGAAAAGTTTGTTGACAAAGTGGCCGGAACTACTTGCGGAGTGATCTTTACACACCTGAAATACAAACACAGAGTGAGTTGTCAATGGGCAGCGGTCATTATTGATTTGAAAGTCTGTTGTAAAGAAATACTGACTGGTAGAACGTTTTGAAGAGCCGTAGAATAAGCAGAATTAATACAAAGCCTATGATTATGGTGTCTATGGTAAACCTAAACTAATAGTAATAATGCATTGGGTTTAGCACTTTTCTGGACACTCAAAGTCACATGTCAATATTCTTTCTCTCCAAACACAGCTGTGATAAACTACTACTGTAGCCACAGCTGCCCTGGGGCACACTGACAGAAGCGAGGCAACCAGTCTGTGCCATTGGCCCCTCCCACCACCACCAACCATTCACAAACACACCAGACTCATTCTACTGTGGGGGAAGTGTCTTGCCTAAGGACACAACCACAGTTTGGCACTTTACAGCCGTCTCATGAATGGCAGATTTAATTAGTAGAAAATGTTTTGTAAAAAGGTTTGACAAAAATCCAGCTTTGGGAAATATTGTAATACAGTTTGTAATAGAACATTTATGCAGGTGCAATTTGCCAAAAAAACAGAAGGAGGAATAATAAACTTTTATTTTCTGAATTGTATAAAAAGAACATCCATGTTTACACCACCTGTGTCCGATAATACTCATGACCGAGCGTAGCCAAGAGCGTCCAGACTTCATCAAGACCTACCTCCTGTAACCATCATTCATTACCATCGGAGCATCTTAACCATGGAGCATGTTTTGGGAGACACCAGCCACACTTCCATCCACAGATACACAAACAAGTGCACACGCTAAAATATATGGAATATATGCAATATATATAGGGCCCTAATCTGTCATCATTAAAGGGCCCTAATGAGGGCCCTAATCTGTCATCATTAAAGGGCCCTAATGAGGGCCTTAATCTGTCATCATTAAAGGGCCCTAATGAGGGCCTTAATCTGTCATCATTAAAGGGCCCTAATGAGGGCCCTAATCTGTCATCATTAAAGGGCCCTAATCTGTCATCATTAAAGGGCCCTAATCTGTCATCATTAAAGGGCCCTAATGTGTCATCATTAAAGGGCCCTAATCTGTCATCATTAAAGGGCCCTAATCTGTCATCATTAAAGGGCCCTAATCTGTCATCATTAAAGGGCCCTAATCTGTCATCATTAAAGGGCCATAATCTGTCACAATAATAAACATCCATCCATCCATCCATTTTCTACCCTTTAATCCATTTCTGGGTCAGGGGGGTGGCAGTCAGAGATGCCACCCAAGTCTCATAGCACCAGCCCCTCACTGACCCTCTGCAGGTGGTGAGTCCACAGGAGGACGGCTGCTCTCTGAGTGTGAGCATAGCCTTGATCTTTCAGTGGGGGCTTTGGGCAAAGTGGGGTTAAGTGCCTTGCCCAAGGACACAACGACAGCAGTCATCAGTGGGAGTCGGTGGAGAAGGTGCAGAGGTGGGAATGAACCCACGACCTTCTGGCCTTAAGGCCAATGCTCGACCAACTGAGCTACTGTCGCCCCACAATAATAAACTGCTCTTTTCCAATCCTTCTTTAACTGATAACAGTAGTTCAGAGATATTTGAATTTCTAAATTACTTTTCCAGCCTCTAAATCTTGTTATTGTTTTCATTTCGATGTCCCGCCCTCCACCGTTTCACCAATCAGAAAGTCTGTGATCCGGGCGCCAGAACTCACCGCGTGGAGCTAATCTCACTGGTAAAGTACCATGTGGCGCAGAACTAAAAAAGGTCTCGTTATGATTCTCAAATCATTAACGACAAAACAAGGAATAAAACCAGGATTTCTATCTTTGTGAAAAAGGTGTTGGTTATAGATTTGTTGTTGACAAAACTCTTGTCTATTCAGCTGTTATGGTCCCAGCTGGATTCGTCTGCATATCTGGCAACCTGAGTCAGGGAGAGTGGGAGAGGCTGCAGTACCACTTTTGGCCACATTTTTAAACACTGCTCCTTTTAGTGAAAAAAGGTAAATAAAATACAGTATTTTTAGAGTAATATATAACACGTACAATAAAAATAAAAGTGAGTGAAGCAGTGCGACATGAGGCTGAGTGCAGGTGAAAAGAATGGTTAATGAAATTAGCATAAACCTCTGAAAGATCAGACTTACCACAGTTGTTGATGTACATGTTGTGAAGGGGGATCTCCGAGGCTCCGTTCTTGCAGTAGAGTTGTTGTGTGTGGAGTCCGGCCTCTCCACGCTGCTGCCACAGCTGTATCCAGCGGATTCCACAGCCGCAGTCGAACACCACGTTCTCCAAATGACTGCAAAGAAAAATGAAAGAGCATGAGTGGAAGACCCCAACATCTGCACATATATATATTTATATATATATACAGTATATATATCACACGGCTCCTCACAGCAGCAGGAGAACGCTCCATTGATTTGAACGTCATCTCCAAACGTTCTACCGATCAGTATTTCTTGATAACAGACTCTCAAAACAATAATGACCACTGCCCTTTGGCAACGCACTCTCTGCTTGTAATTTCGTCACGACAGGCTACGTCACTACTGTCTCTGTGAGAGAAGCTATCGGAGCTAGCCACGCTCAATAAACTCAAATACCAATCAATCAACACATTTAAATGTTAATGGAAGAATACATTATACATTTACATTCTTAAAACGTGCACAGAGGTTTCCAGGATTATCCGTATACGTTTTCATGACAAAAATACCAAACCGTTGAATTGGCCAACACAGATTAGAGAATCGAACAGTTCAAATACAAGAAGTGCAATGATAGAAAACACATAGAGCCATTGGTCCATAAGGAGCAGAGACCAATGTCCAAAAATGTCCATAAACGTAGCTGACTGTTGTGTGTCCCGGACCATCACCCTTTTTGTCCAACACACCCTCCTCTACCAACAACACTGTATAATTATAACAGTCTTTCTTTCATATAAAACCAAGTGTCATCTCTTCTCTCGTCACTCAACCTCACGACTCACTGCAGCATTGACATCACAACAATCCACAACACAATAACGCACACGATCATATCAGGCTGAGAGCGTCGGGGCAATAACACTGAGTTACTGCGTCTCCTGCAGGTGACAACTGCTTAAACTCAACTGAGAGAGAGACGTCTGCTCAAGGTCAAGAGAAGGCTTTTGGTAAACATCTTTAGAACTCTGGAGAAAAACAGAAAACGTACACTTTAACACCACACACTGCATTGTAATGTTAGTGGATTTTATGCCTGAAGTGACGTGGGTAGTGAGGCGTTTTGTGTTGCCTTGTGGAGGAAAGGCGCTCTACATATAAAAGTTGATTGATTGAAAGTGTGCTTTGGAATGAGGAAATAACGCAAAACAGTTCTTGAAATAAAAACTGCTTTGTCCTAATAAGTCAAAAACCACTAGATTAAAGCAATTATTACCTTGTATTTATCATTTTTTGCAGTGTATGGTACAAGGTATAGGAAGACCGGACTGTTATGTTCCATCGACAAACCAAATGACATTAATCCATGCAGTAGGTCTTTGCTTGTTGTTTATAGAACCGTTTACAACACTAAAGGAGACAAAAGTGCATAACAATTTACAATTTATGTAAACGATAAAACCGTAAAAAGCATTAAAAAAGTGCTAATGAGTGTTAAAAGTGTTAAAAGCCAGTGTGAATAAATGTGTTTTAAGGCAAAAGGCCAAACTCAGTGAGTACAGGCCTATCAGGGGGCAGCTTGGTCCAGGACTGAGGAGGACTGGTCTCCCCAGGGTTGAGACCAGTGGGGGAGGGTCCCAGCTAAAAAGTGGCCAAATTGACATGCTGCAATACCACCCCGGGCTTGTGGGGGTGGACCCGGAATAAGAATATTCTGGGTCCTAACATATAGCATTGGCAGACCTCTGGAAAACGTCTTTACAGGATGGTCCAAAAGTCGGCTCTTGGCCCAAAGCTCCGTTCCACATGTGTGTCAATGCTGAGGGAGTGTTCTGGACCAGTCTAGTTTAGTCGCTGTGGACTTTAGAAGTTTCTCGTTCAAATGAATGGAGTTGCGCCGGCTGAAACATGCACAGATGCGTTTTTTCAAAATGTCTTGTGGGCGGGACCACTCGCGGCCGTTTTGGATTGCTCCAGTAGAGCACAATTTTTGGCCCATTAGTTAGAACGGCGGAGATAGGCGTGACTCTGTCCATTAATATATACAGTCTATGGTCGATATCCAAAACTATGAAATCCTCCAGGAAAGAGAGTCCTGACCAGTGTTAATCAGATCTTCTTTCACCGCAAAAAGTGAAGAAAAACAAGTTGAAAATGGCTTGAATTTGGCAAAATGTATCTTGATTTGAGCACATTTCAACTGAGCCTTAAAGCAATATTCTCCAATGGGACAAAGAAAAGGTAAAGAAATGTCTCTTTTGGAAAAACAGTTCTTGAAATCAGACTAAATGTCTTTGTCTCTTTGGAGAATCTGGTTTTAACACAGTCAGAATGTGTCAAATTAAGATAAAAACCCTTGATTCAAGCATTTATTACCTCATATTTTATCACTTTCTACAGTTTCTTTGTGACACTTGACCGACTCTGGCCGAGCATCAACATGTGGAGATAGGCCCCGACAGCTGCTGCTCCTGACGGGTCGAGTCCCTGTGCTCGCCGAGTCCCTGTGCTCACTGAGGCCTGTGCTCTATTTCACACTTCATCCTCTCTCAGATGGGTTTGTTTGGAGAGTTTACATTTCACAGATTTCACCAACTCGGACTCTGAGGAGCACAGGGACTGGCCTCCTGCTGGGACTCTGAGGAGCACAGGGACTGGACTCCTGCTGGGACTCTGAGGAGCACAGGGACTGGACTCCTGCCGGGACTCTGAGGAGCACAGGGACTGGCCTCCTGCTGGGACTCTGAGGAGCACAGGGACTGGACTCCTGCTGGGACTCTGAGGAGCACAGGGACTGGCCTCCTGCTGGGACTCTGAGGAGCACAGGGACTGGCCTCCTGCTGGGACTCTGAGGAGCACAGGGATTGGACTCCTGCTGGGACCAGAGTCAGGACTACCCATGTGGTAACCAAGCGGTTAGGGTTATATTCTTCTTTTTAATGTACTGTGATTATGTTATGTGTTATTGAATCTGGTTTTGTTCAGCATTTTGAGTTTCCTTGTGTATGAACTGTGCTAAACAAATAAACTTGCCGTTGTGGTTTACTTTAATGATAATAACATATCAAAGTGGTTTACTGTCGAGTTAAATAGATGTTGGTCAAAGATAAAGGCTGTATCAGATGGAGGTCCCTCAGTCTCTGTCTCTGAGCTCTACGGCCCATCCCTGTAACACTACCATGCTTTTGCAGATGTTTTTAGTCTTTGTGATTGGTCCATTTGGTCATGGTATGTCCATCTTGGGTCCATTTGGTCATGGTATGTCCGTCTTTGGTCCATTTGGTCATGGTATGTCCGTCTTTGGTCCATTTGGTCATGGTATGTCCATCTTGGGTCCATTTGGTCATGGTATGTCCGTCTTTGGTCCATTTGGTCATGGTATGTCCGTCTTTGGTCCATTTGGTCATGGTATGTCCATCTTGGGTCCATTTGGTCATGGTATGTCCATCTGTGGTCCATTTGGTCTTGGTATGTCCATCTTGGGTCCATTTGGTCATGGTATGTCCATCTTGGGTCCACTTGGTCATGGTATGTCCTTCTGTGGTCCATTTGGTCATGGTATGTCCTTCTGTGGTCCATTTGGTCATGGTATGTCCTTCTGTGGTCCATTTGGTCATGGTATGTCCGTCTTTGGTCCATTTGGTCATGGTATGTCCGTCTTTGGTCCATTTGGTCATGGTATGTCCATCTTGGGTCCATTTGGTCATGGTATGTCCATCTGTGGTCCATTTGGTCTTGGTATGTCCATCTTGGGTCCATTTGGTCATGGTATGTCCATCTTGGGTCCATTTGGTCATGGTATGTCCTTCTGTGGTCCATTTGGTCATGGTATGTCCTTCTGTGGTCCATTTGGTCATGGTATGTCCTTCTGTGGTCTATTTGGTCATGGTATGTCCGTCTTTGGTCCATTTGGTCATGGTATGTCCGTCTTTGGTCCATTTGGTCATGGTATGTCCGTCTTTGGTCCATTTGGTCATGGTATGTCCATCTTGGGTCCATTTGGTCATGGTATGTCCTTCTGTGGTCCATTTGGTCATGGTATGTCCATCTTGGGTCCATTTGGTCATGGTATGTCCATCTTGGGTCCATTTGGTCATGGTATGTCCATCTTGGGTCCATTTGGTCATGGTATGTCCATCTTGGGTCCATTTGGTCATGGTATGTCCATCTTGGGTCCATTTGGTCATGGTACGTCCGTCTTGGGTCCATTTGGTCATGGTATGTCCATCTTGGGTCCATTTGGTCATGGTATGTCCATCTTGGGTCCATTTGGTCATGGTATGTCCATCTTGGGTCCATTTGGTCATGGTACGTCCGTCTTGGGTCCATTTGGTCATGGTATGTCCATCTTGGGTCCATTTGGTCATGGTATGTCCATCTTGGGTCCATTTGGTCATGGTATGTCCATCTTGGGTCCATTTGGTCATGGTATGTCCATCTTGGGTCTATTTGGTCATGGTATGTCCATCTTGGGTCTATTTGGTCATGGTACGTCCGTCCAAACGTCCTTGACAAAGGTCAGTTCGATGTTGCAGGAGGATGAATAATGCAGTGTGCCCAGCGCTGCATGAAGCAATAAGAATAGATTTCTCCAGGTACGAGACACTGATTAGCCTGAGCTCATGGATCTGAGGCCGGGAACATTCCACACGACACGGCCCTGATCAGGGAGGTCATTGTGGAGGGACCATCGTCAAAGTGTAGTTTAATTAAATGTGTTAATTTAGTCTGAAAGGAAAAGACAATCATTCTGTGTCTTGTTAAAAACCACATTATCTGAAGATGAATTTCTTTGAAACCAAATATATTGAGGTTGATTTATCTGGATTTGTACAAACATCAACGTTGAAATCTTTACGTTATCTTTATGTCTAAATTGTGTTTGTTGGAGAGACTGGCGCTGGGTAAACGTGTGTTTGCTCAGCTCAGTGTGTTGTCCTAAAGTGCTGAGTAATATGGAGTGTGCAGGATCAAAGCCGCTCCCTCTTCGCTACATTACTTTGCTAATTGCTAATAAGAGCCTCCTCCTTCTGTGTGTGGAGGCAGATGCCCATGCACCTGGTAAGTGCACATGGAGCACTGTAATAAGGCAGAGGCCCTACAGCAGGTCGAGAACAATGAGGAGAAGCTGACGACTGGAGCCTGATAAATGCAGCAGCACACATTAGACGTGTAAAGAGCAGCACACAGCTCAGAGAGCTGCATCCTGAGTTTCCTTGAAGCTGTTTAATGATCCGCCTCAGCACTCCAGAGGAGACGTAATCATCACATCCACAATGTGTTTGGGAGACGCACACACAGGTGCTGGGCCTGTGTGGCCTCTCACACATGGACCACAGCTTACACACACACACTCTTTGATCTCAGCGTGTTAATAACATATGTTTAATACATTGCATGATTTCTCTTGTTTATTCTCACAGCTTCCTCTGCGGCTGTGGCTGAGAGAGTGTTTCTATGTGCTCCACAGGTAGAGGAGAAATACAAACATGCTAAGAGACATCCCAGCGGCTCTATACTCTCATGTCTGGCTTTTATATAACTATGTATGTGCCAAGTCCCACTCACCGCCTCCTCTTTCTCAGCCTTTTCAACCAGCCACTATTTCAGAGCACACTTTAGATGGAAATAACTCTTGTTTCCACATTGGACTTCCCATACATTTGGTGTCAATCAGCATTGTGCCTGGCTCTGTCATTATCATTACAGTGTGGGAAAGAGATAATCTAGCTGTCAGGCCATCACAGAGCCTTGCAAACACTTGAAGGCTCTGAGTGACAGGTCGACATCCCCTCATACAATGTGGCTGCATAAACACGTGTAGCCTGCACCGGCATCAGCTCCTTCCACAGCTCCTTCCACAGCTCCTTCTACAGCTCCTTCCACAGCTCCTTCCACAGCTCCTTCCACAGCTCCTTCCACAGCTCCTTCCACAGCTCCTTCCACACGCTGCACACTGTCACCACGAGACTTATTATTAGATTTTTGTTGTTGTAATAATTCTATATTTTAACATTGTTTGCCACCCTAATCCCACAAATGAATATGTCAAGCATGACCTCCTTGGTTTCTGAACCTCTGACTGCTGCCAGAAAATGTCTCTGACGAGCTTTCAGGCACCAAGGTACCAATCATTGTCTTGTGTTGTACAGATGCATGTCCTTTGTTGTCTAATAGTGTCGGTGATAATAATATTCATTCATTCAGTCATTTTCTACCCCTTTATTAGTCCATTTCTGGGTTCGGGGGTGACGATCATAGCACCAGTCCCTCGCTGATCCTCCTGCAGGTGGTGGGTCTTTCAGCAGGGGCTTCTGGAAACGTGGGGTTAAGTGTCTTGCCCAAGGACACAACTACACTAGACATGCGCGGGAGACGTTGGAGTAGGCCTCAATATTCAGGCCCAAAGCCAAGGCCAATGCTCTACCACCTGAGCCACTGTCGCCCGCTAATAATAATAATAATAATGTATTGATAATATACAGTACAGACGAAAAGTGTGGACACCCTCTTTCTTTTCATGACTATTGTCTGTAGACCCGCACCAGGCTGTGTAAAGGCTGTTTGACCAATAAGGAGAGTGATGGTGCTGGGCCACATGACCTCCACAGTCAACTGACCTGAACCCAGTCCAGAATGGTTTTGGACCTGAGCCCAGTCCACATGGTTTTGGACCTGAACCCAGTCCAAATGGTTTTGGACCTGAACCCAGTCCAGATGGTTTTGGACCTGAACCCAGTCCAGATGGTTTTGGACCTGAACCCAGTCCAGATGGTTTTGGACCTGAACCCAGTCCAGATGGTTTTGGGCTGGACCACAGAGTGAAGGGGCCAACAAGTGCTAAGCATCATGGGAACTCCTTCAAGACTGTTGAGAACCATTTCAGGTCCTCTTGAAGATCATCCAGAGAATGCCAAGAGTGAAGCAGTATCAGAGCAAAAGGAGCTACTTTGAAGAACCAGAATATAACACATATTTTCACTTGTTCATACGTTCAAAATTCCACATGAGTTCATTCATAGTTTTGAGGCCTTCAGTGTCGGTCTACAATTTTGATAGTCATGAAGATAAAAAACTCTTGAGATGGGTGTGTCCAAACCTTTGGTCTGTGCTGTATACATACTGTATATTCCTCACACAGTGACAGTGACACAGGCTGAAGGATGTTTATGGAGAACAATACCACCAAATATAACGGCCATTTAGACAGAAAAAACACACAAAACGTTTGCCTGGTGCTTACAATACTGCTTAAAATCTGAAAAATGCCAAAATAGTATTATTTACTTATTTCTTAAACATTTTTGAGAAATGTTTTCTCAAAATACAGCATCACAAACTTATTTTATGTAAACAACAAAAGTCTGGAAATAAGAAAAAAATACTATGAGGTTTTATTATCTTAAAACTAGTAAAATAATCTCATGACAAACTACATTCAAGCAACAAACACTTGCCATTAAAGATATAAGCATCATTTATGTATTTTTTAAAGAATAAATCCGACCAAGATCTTACTTTTTCCAGTGTGAACATTTGCATTGACCAGTGTATTACAGACCCCCACTCTTCATCCCTCTTCATCATAGTCTTCTTCACGGAAAAACGAAGTTGAACCAGGAATGAAGAAATGACTTTAAAAGCACAGTCTGTGTCTCTCTCGTTACAGAAAAACGACTGGAGGAAAATTGGTCTCACAAGATGGATTTAAAAGGCTTATCGACAACAGCACCTGCACCGCTGTCATGGGGGAGAGAGGGGGCGGGGCCAGAGGGGGCGGGGCGACCTCAGCACTACCTCCACCCCCACCACGCCCGGACAGAGTGAATACGAGCTGAGGGCAATTTATGTCCTCACAGTCTATGCAAAGTGTTAATATGTAAGATTTTCAGGTCCAGTTTTCATTAAAGGGCCCTAATCTGTCCTCATTAAAGGGCCCTTACCTGTCATCATTAAATGGCCCTAATCTGTCATCATTAAAGGGCCCTAATCTGTCACCATTAAAGGGCAATAATCTATCATTAAAGGGCCCTAATCTGTCATCATTAAATGACCCTAATCTGTCATTATTAAAGGGCCCTAATCTGTCATTATTAAAGGGCCCTAATCTGTCCTACTTAAAGGGCCATAATCTGTCATCATTAAAGGGCCCTAATCTGTCAAAATTAAAGGCTCTAATCTGTCGTCATTAAAGGATCCTAATCTGTCCTAATTAAAGGGCCTCAATCTGACATCATTAAAGGGCCCTAATCTGCCCTCATTAAAGGGCCCTAATCTATCCTCATTAAAGGGCCCTAATCTGTCCTCATTAAAGGGCCCTAATCTGTCATCATTAAAGGGCCCTAATCTGTCCTCATTAAAGGGCCCTAATCTGTCATCATTAAAGGGCCCTAATCTGTCATCATTAAAGGGCCCTAATCTGCCCTCATTAAAGGGCCCTAATCTATCCTCATTAAAGGGCCCTAATCTGTCCTCATTAAAGGGCCCTAATCTGTCCTCATTAAAGGGCCCTAATCGCAAATCCTTAACGACAAAACAAGGAATAAAACCAGGATTTCTATCTTTGTGAAAAAGGTGTTGGTTATAGACTTGTTGTTGACAAAACTCTTGTCTATTCAGCTGTTATGGTCCCAGCTGGATTCGTCTGCATATCTGGCAACCTGAGTCAGGGAGAGTGGAGAGGCTCTGCAGCTGAGGGGCCTCCAAAGTGCACTTTGAACACTGCAGGAGCTGGAATTATGGTTTGACATTTAAATATGTGTCTTAGAAGAGGATGTGACGTAACTTGGCATTTAAACCCAATTTTGGATTTTTCTTCAGATTTATTGGTTTCAGACGTAAACGTACTTTGCTGAACAACAGAAGTGTATTTTCCTTCAGAACTGAACAGATACAAACAGGAAAGAAAGGTTTGGGCGTCCAGAAATGTAGAGCTGTTAAAGTCAGCACTTTGTTTATATACAGAAGCACATTTTTACACACCAAGGTCAAAGCACTTTCCAAGAGGGAGGAAAACGGTGTGGTGGTCCTCCCCCCTCTCCTACTCTCCCTCTCCCCTCTCTCTTCCCTCTCTCTCCTCTCTCTCCTCTCTCTCACTCCTCTCTCCCCTCTCTCTCCCCTCTCTCTCCTCTCTCCCCTCTCTCTCCTCTCTCTCCCAACTCCCTCTCTCCCCTCTCCCTCCTCTCTCACCCCTCTCTCCCCTCTCCCTCTACCTCTCTCCTCTCTCTCCCCTCTCTCCCCTCTCCTCTCTCCCCTCTCTCTCTCCTCTCTCCCCTCTCTCTCCTCTCTCCCCTCTCCTCTCTCCCCTCTCTCTCTCCTCTCTCTCCCCTCTCGCCCTCTCTCTCTCCCCTCTTTTCCCCATCTCTCTTCTCTCCCCTCTCTCCCCTCTCTCTCTCCTCTCTCTCTCCTCTCTCCCCTCTCTCTCCTCTCTCTCCCCTCTCTCTTCTCTCCCCTCTCTCTTCCCTCTCTCACTCCTCTCTCCCCTCTCTCTCTCCTCTCTCCCCTTTCTCCTCTCTCCCCTCTCTCTCCTCCCTCTTCTCTCCCCTCTCTCTCCTCTCTCCCCTCTCTCTTCCCTCTCTCACTCCTCTCCCCCCTCTCTCTCTCTCCTCTCTCCCCCTCTCTCTCCTCTCTCCCCCCTCTCTCTCCTTTCCCTCTCCTCTCTCCCCTCTCTCTCCTCTCCTCTCTCTCTCCCTCCTCTCTCTCTCTCTCTCCCTCTACCTCTCCCTCTACCTCTCCCCTCTCTCTCCCCTCTCTCTCTCTCCCCTCTCCCTCCTCTCTCACCCCTCTCTCTCTCTCCCTCTACCTCTCTCACCCTCTCACACCCGTCTCCTCCTGAAACATTGTGCTTTAGGTTTTAAAACTAAATGTTTGACTTGTTTGGTGGTGTTGTTACGCCCCATGATGAAGATGTTTTGCCCCAGACTGCAGTGTGAAGGTGTCTCTTAAAGGAGAAATATGAGTCATTATTGTTGGACAATAAAAGGATAATGAGAATATTTACAGTATTTGGTCCTTTCATGTTTTAGAAAATGAAATAATATGAAGTGTAAAATATTGAAACAAGTCTGAAGTGAGTAAGAAAGGCTTTGGTCCTGTTACTGCGCCACCAGCAGAGGAAGGACATCCATGTGTTTGTTCTGATTTTCACATTTGTAGTTTGCAAACACAGCCAAGCAATTGCAAAGAACAAATTTTTACTTGAAACTTTTGCAAAGCATTTATGAGCAGTACTGCAGTGATTAGAGGAACCTCAGGGAACCTCAGGGTACCTCACGATACGATACGTGCGATACAAAGCTCACAATAAGGATTATCTCACGATATGACAATGCAGCGATTATTGATAAATTGGTCAAAAAAATACCTACGATAAAAAAATTCTTATATTTATGGCATAAGTTAAGTGAAAAAATACACTTTATTTCAAGATAAATGGATAAAGTGTAGCATTAAAGTGAACAAGGAAAATGCCTTTTAACCATTTTAGTAAAAATCTTACTTAATCTGCTTCACATCCATAAAATCAACATGAACATTCTACAGAAGTTGTAGAATGCGTAATGTAGCCATACATTAAATATTAACTTATTTTTTTCAAGTAAAGCTTTTTGAAAAAATTAGAAAGAAAAAATACTTTAAATTTTTTAATTGATACTTGGCAAAAGCATATCGATAATCGATTGTATGAGAAAATATCACGATATATCACCAAATCGATATATCGTCACACTTCTAGTAGTGATACAATGATGTCATATCATTGAGGACTTTAGACAGAAAGGGCAGAGTTACGAGAATGATGGATGAAAAAACCACTTCAGGTCTGTATTTAATGAGGAAACATGGTTAAAAGCTCAAACATTTTGATTTTAGCAAAACATGTCTCCTTTAAAGTCTGAACAGTGAGTTTTTAAACTTGTTTGAAGATTTTTTTTCTTAATTCCAGAATTCTTTTTTGATAAAATAAGTTTGTGATGCTGTTATTTTGTTTTTAAGTAAGTAAGTAATCTTTATTCATATAACGCCTTTCTCAGACCAGAGTGGTTTACAATTGTGGGCATTTGTCTCTCACCACACAGAGATGGGAGCGGGGCCTGTACAGGAGGCAAAGACCTATTGTACATGTTTTTAGTGGTAGGGGAAACCGGAGTACCCGGAGGAAACCTACGCAGACACGGGGAGAACATGCAAACTCCACTCAGAAAGGCTCTGTTCCGACTGGGATTTGAACCCAGGACCTTCTATGCTTTTCAAGTCATGATTTCTTGTTCTATTGCATTTTTTTAGTATTATTTTAAGCAGTATTTTACTTATTTTTTATATTTTTATCAAAGGATTCTCTCCGGTATCCTACGCATGCCCTCCTTTGTCCTACTTCCCTTCCACGGATACATCTCACTGCAATAAAACCAATTCAGCCTTCAAATATCTTCACAAAATCCTAATATACTTTGAGAGATGAAAAACTCTCCAAAATCTAATACTTCGTGCAAAATCTTTCCCGCACAATACCATACACTGGCCACAGCTTCCAGACGAGGATTAGAGTAGGACTTACAGAATAGAGGCGTACGGAGAGCCGGAGGGACATCTTTAGCAGCTCCAGCAGACAATATTCTCTCTGCAAATTTCCTCGAAAACTGCGGCACATCACGGACTGACTCTGTGTGTGTGTGTGTGTGTGTGTGTGTGTGTGTGTGTGTATTTTCCATGACAACCGCAGCACATCACGGTCTGACTCCTACAGCTACAGTCCTCACTAATCTGCAGCCATATCGTCCTGACAGCACTTTCCCCAAGTTAGCATTTAGCTAGCCACACACACACACACACACGCATAGACACACACACACACAGACACAGACACAGAGACACAGAGACACAGAGACACACACACACACACACACACACACACACACACACACACACACACACACACACAAACACACATTCCCGTTTGGCCTAATGCTGGGTTATAGCAACGGAATAGCGCAGTCGTTCGGGCAGTCACTTCGGCAGTCACTCCGGCAGTCACTCCGGCAGTCACTCCGGCAGTCACTCCGGCAGTCACTCTTGCAGTCACTCCTGCAGTCACTCCGGCAGTCACTCCGGCAGTCACTCCAGCAGTCACTCCTGCAGTCACTCCAGCAGTCACTCCGGCAGTCACTCTTGCAGTCACTCCTGCAGTCACTCCGGCAGTCACTCCGGCAGTCACTCCAGCAGTCACTCCTGCAGTCACTCCTGCAGTCACTCCTGCAGTCATTCCGGCTGTCACTCCTGCAGTCACTCCAGCAGTCACTCCTGCAGTCACTCCGGCAGTCACTCCGGCAGTCACTCCAGCAGTCACTCCTGCAGTCACCCCTGCAGTCACTCCTGCAGTCACTCCGGCAGTCACTCCTGCAGTCACTCCAGCAGTCACTCCTGCAGTCACTCCTGCAGTCACTCCAACAGTCACTCCTACAGTCACTCCTGCAGTCACTCCTGCCGTCACTCTGGCAGTCACTCCGGCAGTCACTCCGGCAGTCACTCCGGCAGTCACTCCTGCAGTCACTCCTGCAGTCACTCCTGCAGTCACTCCGGCAGTCACTCCTGCAGTCACTCCTGAAGTCACTCCTGCAGTCAGTCCTGCAGTCACTCCTGCAGTCACTCCTGCAGTCACTCCGGCAGTCACTCCTGCAGTCACTCCTGCAGTCACTCCTGCAGTCACTCCAACAGTCAGTCCTGCAGTCACTCCAACAGTCAGTCCTGCAGTCACTCCTGCAGTCACTCCTGCAGTCACTCCGGCAGTCACTCCTGCAGTCACTCCTGCAGTCACTCCTGCAGTCACTCCGGCAGTCACTCCTGCAGTCACTCCGGCAGTCACTCCTGCAGTCACTCCTGTAGTCACTCCGGCAGTCACTCCTGCAGTCACTCCGGCAGTCACTCTGGCAGTCACTCCTGCAGTCACTCCTGCAGTCACTCCTGCAGTCACTCCGGCAGTCACTCCTGCATTCACTCCTGCAGTCACTCCTGCAGTCACTCCTGCAGTCACTCCTGCAGTCACTCCTGCAGTCACTCCTGCAGTCACTCCGGCAGTCACTCCTGCAGTCACTCCTGCAGTCACTCCTGCAGTCACTCCGGCAGTCACTCCTGCAGTCACTCCTGCAGTCACTCCTGCAGTCACTCCAACAGTCACTCCTACAGTCACTCCTGCAGTCACTCCGGCAGTCACTCCTGCAGTCACTCCGGCAGTCACTCCTGCAGTCACTCCGGCAGTCACTCCTGCAGTCACTCCTGCAGTCACTCCTGCAGTCACTCCAACAGTCACTCCAACAGTCACTCCTACAGTCACTCCGGCAGTCACTCCGGCAGTCACTCCTGCAGTCACTCCGGCAGTCACTCCTGCAGTCACTCCGGCAGTCACTCCTGCAGTCACTCCTGCAGTCACTCCTGCAGTCACTCCGGCAGTCAAAAACACACTTACACACTGAACCCAAAAGGTAGTGATGTTCATGTGCGTTTGTATGTACAAATGTGTTTGAATGTCCATGTTGTAATATATTGTGTACGCCAAAATAAATAAAGGGCACACAGACAAAAGAGTCCAAGCCGATCGTGTGTGTGTGTGTGTGTGTGTGTGTGTGTGTGTGTGTGTGTGTGTGTGCGCTGCAGGCAAAGCTGACACACACTCCCTCTCTTCTCGATGTGACACAAGCCTTTCACAGGAGCCATAAAAGACTGGATTATTGAGATCGCGGCGATAAAAAAGCTTTTGTCATAGATGTTGAGACGCAGCCAGGAGCGAGGAACGTCTGCGTCAACAATCCACAAAACAAAAGAAAGGGATGCAGTAAAAGTTGGACATGAAGGGGGTCATGGGGGGGGGGGGGGGGGGGGGTCATGGGGGGGGTCGTGCTGAGTGATGTAAATGGATTTGTGTGTTTATTGTGTGTATGGAGAGCAGTTTGTGTAATGAGGGGCAGGTACAGTCTGAGTGCGCAGTGCTTGGGGCTCAAAGCAGCAGGATGCTAATTCATGTAGCCGCTAATGCTATTCAGAAGCTATTAGCAAAGGACAACGACCTAGCTAGCTGCTCCCAGTGGCTCAAGCTGAAATATAGAAACATTTTTTTTCAGATTTTAAAGTAAATTACACGGCTTTTCCGAAATGACAGACTGAACATTACACAAAGACAAGACGACAATAATAAAAAATAATAATAAAAAAAATAATAATAAAACAAAAAATAAGAAATAATAGAGAAGAAAAAAATAAAAAAACATTGAAGAAACAAAATTGGAGAAGAAAAATATATTACAATAAAATGAGAAATAATAGAGAAAAAGAAAAAAATAATAAGAAAATCAAGAAAAAAATGGAGAATAATAAGAAAAAAAAATCATGAAAAAAGTGAGTCAAAATGTGCAGTGAGTTAAAATGCTTTTATTTGGGTCATGGCAGCCTCAGTATTTGTAAAGACGCTTCCATCAGTTCCTCTCGTTGTGTGTGAATGTAAGGCTTCAGTTAAAGGGACACAATATGCATAATATATTTTGATTTATTCCACATCATCAAACAAAAAAAGGATTTAATAATTCCTCCTTTACACAGTCCTAGAGATTTATATAACATTTAGATTCACTGTGCAGTAAAATATACTTCAGCAGCAAGTGCTAAGTGTCCAAACCTCTGCTGCTGGGACCTAAAGGACTGATGCATTTTAATATTATTGTTAGATACTTTTAGAATTATTTATATGTTTTGTTTGTTTGGATGGATGTGTTTCTGCTGCTACTGGACACATGCATTTCACCAACAGGGATCTATAAAGTATCCATCTATTTATCTATATATATGTATCTATAATCTATGTATGTATGTACAGTATGTATCTATAATCTATCTATCTATCTATCTATGTATCTATCTATCTATGTATCTATCTATCTATGTATCTATCTATCTTCAAGCAAATAAAGCAATGAAGTCAAAATGAAAAAATAAATCTCAGTGACAGTGGTTGTGAGTACGATCCCGTGTGAACAGTGGTTGTGAGTACGATCCCGTGTGAACAGTGGTTGTGAGTACGATCCCGTGTGAACAGTGGTTGCGAGTACGATCCCGTGTGAACAGTGGTTGCGAGTACGATCCCGTGTGAACAGTGGTTGCGAGTACGATCCCGTGTGAACAGTGGTTGTGAGTACGATCCCGTGTGAACAGTCTAATTAAAGGCTTAATCCTTCATTAGTTTCCTTTTCATTACAGGTCACTGTCAGTGTGTTGTTAGAAATGGGTTCTCTTTTGTAGTTAAATGTATGTGTAATAGGAGGCTAGCGTCAGGCAGATGATAACAGCTGTAGCAGAGCAGCCTGGTGGCAAAGGCCCGCACCGTGATACGCTCACACGGAATGGAATTATTTGGGGCCGGTTTGATCTTTGTAAATTTCCATAATATGAATGAGCTTCGGCTCCGAGGCAGCGGGTGTCACGGATGCTGCGATATGTCTTTATGAGGCAGTTGAAAGCAATGACAGGTGGACACGCTTCATTCAGTCTGATGGGATGAAAAACACAGTATATCTTTGCAAAATTCAATAATAATAATAATAATAATGCATTGGTTTTACACAGCACTTTTCTGGACGCTCACAGATGCTTCACATGTCATTATCCATTCACTCCAAACACGGTGGTGATAAACTATTGTAGCCACAGCTGCCCTGGGGCACACTGACAGAAGCGAGGCAACCAGTCTGTTCCAATCAGCCCCTCCCACCACCACCAACCATTCACACACACACCAGACTCATTCTAATGTGGGGGAAGTGTCTTGCCTAAGGACACAACGACAACAGTTTGGCACTTTACAGCCGCAGCCGCCCCACTGTGTCACCTGCTGTTCACAGAGGTCTCCCATAACAGTACGAACCAGGCCCTGCCCTGCTTAGCTTCAGAGGTCTGACAGGATCTGGTTTTCGCATGCTTTCAAAAAGTTTATTCTATCACAAGGTTTGGGTTACCATGGTCTGATCATACCATCGTACTAATTTCATTTCAAACTTAAGCTAAAGATTTCATACTTGCTTCTTTAATTTTCCAAAACTTTAGATTAAATTATATTTTAAGTGAGCACGGAGTTATTGTTCATTTATCTTGTGCTGTGTGCTCCTCATTTCTTCTGCCCTGTAACCGGTGATGCAACACTGACATCTTAATCTAAACAATGAATAAGGTATTTATTTGTAGAGCACATTTAAACTAGCCACGGCTTATCCAAGAGAGAAAACACAGCGCCATAAAAACAATAAAATACAGATATATAGACACATAAAACCCAAAAATGTGTCTTTCTGCCTGGTATTAAAAGCCAAAGCAGGAATTTAAATTGCTCGAGTGAGGTAAATGTGCACTTTATTAATCTCCTTAGAGCAATTCAATCCTCTGCATTTGACCCATCCTGATGCCGCTAAGGCTTACGTCAGGAGCAGTGGTCGCCGTAGTAACAGCGCCCGGGAACCCATCTCCAGAGGTTGATGCTCGGCTTGGTCAGGACCAGAGCTGGAGGATTTTAACCTTGTGAGCATGTTTTTAGTGGTAGGGGAAACCGAAGTACCCGGAGGAAACCTACGCAGACATGGGGAGAACATGCAAACTCCACTCAGAAAGACCCCGTTCTGACCAGGATTATAACCCAGAACCTTCTTACTGAGAGGCGAGAGTGCCATCCACTCAGCCACCGAGTGATTGTGCAGTTCTAATAATAATAATAATACATTTTAGTTATAGAGCACTTTACATTTCCAGGAAACATCAAAGTGCTAGAGATTAAAATACAAAACCACAAGCAACAAAACAAAGCAAAAGAATCAGAAGTTCACGAATACATCACAAAGAAATATGAAGGGTTAAAAGCCAATAACATCTCTAATAGGCCTGATTATTTTTTTTTTATGTTTTAAAAAAATATAAAAGAGGAAGGAGAGTGATGCCCTCAACATGAAGTAAAGGGGTGAGGGTGTAGGGTCAGAGGGTGTTTGGGCCTGTGTCTGTGAGGTGTTGTGTGTATCTGTGGTGTGTTGTGTGTGTGTGTGTTGTCTTGTTTTGTCCTGTCTCTGTAGTCATGTCATGTATTAGTTCATTCTATGTACGGTATAAGTTTCCAGCTGTTTACGAATGATCCTGTATGTATAAGGTTCTTGTACTGTACTTTGTGTTGAATGTGTGAGGGGGGGGAAGGGCGACAGTAGCTCAGTTGGTAGAGCATTGGCCTTCAGGCCTGAAGGTCGTGGGTTCAATTCCCACCTTGACACCTTCTCCACCGACTCCCACTGACGACTGCTGTTGTTGTGTCCTTTGGGCGGCACGGTGGCTGAGTGGATAGCACTCTTGCCTCTCAGCAAGAAGGTCCTTCGTTCGAATCCCGGCCGGACAAGGGCCTTTCTGAGTGGAGTTTGCATGTTCTCCCCGTGTCTGCGTAGGTTTCCTCCGGGTACTCCGGTTTCCCCTACCACTAAAAATATGTCCAATAGTTCTAGCATGCGCCTCCTGTACTGGCGACCCTGCTCCCATCTCTGTGTGGAGTAAGAGGACAAGTGCCCAAAAATAACAATTGTAAACCGCTTTGTGACTCTGGTCTGTGAAAGGCGGTATATAGGGCTGGGCGGTATAAACGGTATAAGCGGTAGACGGTATAAATTTGGCCCACGGTAGAGATTTTTGTTATACCGGCATATTGCGATAGGTCATTATGTCATTAAATTGCGCAGGCTCTGACGCCAGCAGAAAGGACCAAAACAAACCGGCATTCAGCAGCATTAGCCTAGCACATTAGCCTAGCATTAGCCTAGCACTATTGGACACCACTGGAAACAGCGAACAACAGCACGGCATTAACACAGTGTTTCTGTCTATGTACTGTTGTCACAGCGGCCCCAGCAGAGGTAAATACACACACAGTAATCACAGTTTAAGAGTCTACCTTTTGGCCAATCAGTGTCAAAGGGGCGTAGGCTCGAAGCGCCAGTGTGAGCCAAAATAGATCCATGCGTGTGCCGTGTCCACAGCATCACAGCAGAAGTTTGGGAAAGTTAGCTTCAGATTCAGACCTCCGCGGTCAATATCTCACGAAAGCTACTTTGTTAAACAAAATTATTTGTGCCAAAATGACCATTTACATCAATTGTTCAAATCCAATGCCCTGTTTTAATGAACATAAAATCCATTGAATCATCCAGCGCAGAGAAAAGCGCTTAGGGAGCGTCAACAAATGGCAAGACCAGCTTTGTAAACAAACAGCTTTTACTGAAGTCATGTACAGTACCTGCACAAAACTCTCAGACACTATAACTAATGACCATGTCTAACTCCTACAGACTTTGATTTCAACATTTGTGAGTTTTTTATATTTTAAATGAATGCATATGTTTTTCTTTTTAAAAATTGCTTTTACAGTGAATGGTATTTACTGTAATATACATAAATAATGTATGTT